AAGCTCGCCTTCCTCCCACTGCCAGGTACTCAATGACCACCTGAAGTCTTGCCTTGAGGAAGCCTTTCCAGTCAAGTCAACAGCTAGAGGACGACAGCCCCTTCAGCCTGGGATTTCCCAGGAGACCCTCGAAATCATGGATGCCCGTACCTCGCAGCTTCGGAGCTATCGTCGAGTCGGATTTCTACGCCTAAAGCATCAGCTCGCGCTCGCGTTCCACGTTTGGGCTGAAACTCTTAGGGGTCCTTGGATATGCAACCGCACCTTGCAGTGGAAGCAATCAGAACGATTGCCTGGAGACTTCAACGCACGCTGGGGCAGCAGGCATCAGCATCTTGCATCTCTTTCTAGGCCAGCGTGTTTAGAGTTGCGCTACTACATTGACAGCCAGTGCGATGTCAGCGGTTCCAGATTCAAGAAGATCGGGTTCCGCAAGGCTTACCAGGATTACTTAGCTTACGTCAGGCTTGGGGGCCGTATTTGTGGCAGTTTTCAGTCAAGCAGGAGCCAAGGCTTTTCCATCGAGGAGATGAAATGGATTACTCCTGGCTATGCAAGTATTACTGGTGTTCACGCTTGCTGGAATCACACTGTTCGGCTTTCAGGTCTTTGCCTGGCTGTTCGGGCTATCGCTCTCGAGACCATGACCAGATTCGTTGCGCACAGGGTGGACCTTGACGCCGAGGCTCACGCTGTCTCGCTCGCCCAGGGTATCACGTCGGCCTGGTCTCGACGGGGCTTCAAGGACGCGCTCGCCAAACTTCGTGCCATGGGGGCCTGCTCTCGTCGCAAACGATCTGCTCGCCCTCTCCTCATGCTCTTTGGGCTCAACGACAAGCCGCTCAGATCACACATCGGAATGGCTAACCGCTGGCCCCAACGCTTTAGTGGAGAGGAAACTGCTCCAGTCATTCCTAATACCGACCTACCTTGGTTCCTGGGGTCTGTGCCTCAGCTAGATACTCCCGTCACGCACGACGTCGGCATTTCCATTGAGGACGCACCGTCCCTGAGTGTCACGCAGCATTCGTTTCGACGCGCCAAGGACTCTGCGGCGGGGCCCGACGGCATCGCTGGAGCGGTGCTCAAGAAGTTCGCCATCCAGCCTGGCAAGTTTTATCACCCACTGTACGTCATAAGCACGGGGAGAATTTGCGAACCTATTCAATAGGAAGGGAGATTCGATTGGAGCGTGTTCGAAGCTGGGGCCCCGTCCAACGTCAAACACTACCGGTCCATCCTGGGGTCTTCACAGGCTGTGAAGTGATGCCGTGCTCTTACACGTGCTAGTACAGTCACACAGCTCAAACACGCTGCTGGAGATCGTCAGTTTGGAGGTCTATCGGGTAGGGGCACCGAGTTCCAAGCTCTAGAGCTCAGAGTACTCCAACAACTCGCGTCGGCACAGAATCATCCGGTCATGATGCTTTCCATCGATGCGGCCCAGGCCTTCTACAAATCGGTTCGGGAACTGGCGTTTCGCACGTCTGCCGACGATGAGGCTGCAGCCATGCCACCGAAGTTCTGCGGGCTGCCACCAGAGACGACTCGAGAGCTGGCCAACTACATCCAAGCACGCGTTCCAATCATGGAACAAGCTAGGGCGTCGGCCTTTTCGCCGTGGGCAAGTTTCAGACGCCCATGAGCAGTCTTGGCTTTATATCAACGACGGGGCTGGGGTTGCGTCTCCGTCCCTGGGAGCGGGGTCTGGCCAACAATTGGGAGATCTGGTGTTCAACTTCGTGATGTTACAAATCATGGCCAAAGCTCAAGAGAGTCTCTTGGACTTAGGTGTTGGCCTCAAGTTACCAGCCCTTCACGTCTCTTCGCTTGCAGCTCATGCCAAGTCAGAGGCGGAGGGCAAAATGCCAGTGCACGTGTGCCACACCATGGACGGAGCTTTCTTTGACGACGCGTTGTTATGCTTTGCTGGCAGGACCAGAATTTTACTTGCGGCCATTGAGCATTTCACGTCCCTTGGTCTCCAGGTCAACGTCAGGCCAGGCAAGTCCGCCTTCCTGTTCCAGTTTCGTGGCCCCTCCCCGCAAAGCTAAGCGCACCCTGGTCCAAGACATGTGCAACACCATTCACACGTACACGAGCACCCTTGGGGAGATTTCGTTACACCGTGTTCAGGAATAAATTCATCTCGGCACCAAGCACGCAATGACGGCCTCAATGGGGCCTGAGTTGACACATCGTCTTCCACGTTGCAGTCAGCAGTAGAAGGCCAATAGGAACAAGGTTTTCAAGCATAACGCGATTGAGCAACAGGTTGCCCTCGTCTTCCTCGACTCCTTAGTCTGCTCTGGGCGTTTATTTCAATCCAGTACGTGGGGGTACCTTACAGAAGCTCAGTACAAGTGCCTACAGGACGGACTGCTTCGATCTTATCGTACCATCGCCGGCCTGCCGCGCGCTGAGGAGCATGCAGTGCCCAACAAAGCAGTTCTTGCCAGGGTGGGTCGTCCTCCACTGTCTGCGTTGTTACCCGTTGACAGGCTTTGCCTCTTTGGCCGCCTAGTCCAAACGGGCCCGCCACGTATCGTGGCTCTCGTCCACCAGCCGAAGTTGGCCACGGAGAGGCCCTGGGGCCATATGGTCATCGATGCTCTTCGGTGGTTGCGTTTCCATGCTCGACGTTTTCAAGATCTCCCCGACCCCGAAGAACATCTATCTGTTTGGAAGCTCGAGGCATGCAAATCACCAACATCATGGAAACAAACTATCCGGCAAGCATTAGCAGCTCAAGTTAGGCAGCTTCAGCGAGTTGAGTTGGCACGCGCAGCCGAAGAGCAGATTTTTCAAGTTCTCGAGTCAGCAGGCGCGCCGCCAGCCTGGGATGAAAAGCGTCACCGTCTTAGAGTTCAGGAGCCGGAAGAAGCTAAAGTTTCCAGATGTATGTGGTGCAGCCTTACCTTTTCTCGGATTCGAGGGCTTCGGACACATATCGGTCGGGCTCATCATTCCAAGGTTGCTTTGATTCGAATTTCCAGGGAGGTGACCATGTCTACGTTGCGACACTTGCTTTCAACGTTTCGCTCATCGGTCTGCTCTTACTGCGCATCTTGCTTTTGATTATTTGAAGTGCGCGATGGCCTCATCACTGCGGAGCCGCAATGTTCAGCTGCCGAGGCCAAGCAGTTACAGTGCGAGGAAGAAACTAGGCTTCAAGCGCAACGTTCGGCTGGTCAAGGCCGATGGCGCACGGAGCTGCCAGCAGCTAGAGAACCAGGAATCGTTCGGCACCCACTCGTGGACGATCTAGCTAGGCCTCTCTGTCATCGAGAAGCCCTCCAGATTCTTCTTGAAATCGACCCAGCCATCCCCGATGACAAAATCGACGAGTACATTAACCTTTGTCTCCGACGAGCCCCCACGTGAAGTTCCCTTCTACGTGTACAATCCAGGTAAAAACGTTTCGTTCGCCTCACAGTCGGTGTCGATTAGGATTCGAAGGCCCAGTTTCTACGTTCTCAATATTTACTGCGGCCATCGCCGAGCAGGTGATGTGCTGTGGCATGTAGAATATGCTGTGGCGAAGCCCGTGATTGAGATCATAGTATCGAGCATAGACATAGCGATCGACCCAGTCACCAGAGATCTCACGCGCGAGGACACTCTGCTCGAATGGAACGAGCACATCAGATGCCACAGAGTCATCAATACGGGAGGGGGCCCCCATGGGAGACGTGGTCAGCGTCTCGATGGCACGAGGGGGGTCCCCCCCCACTACGCCTTGGGTTTCTCACAGGCAGTCGGAGCAATTACGTATCGGCTCGCAGCAACTACATTCACTAGTACGGCTTCTAGCGGAACATCTGAGGGCAGGCACAGGTGGTTGGTCGAGCACCCCGCGTCCCCAACGTGGGCCCCGCGGGCCCCGACTTCTTCCCGCTGGGGGCCTCCACAGGCCCTGGCGGCTTCCCCTTGTGCGTCGCTCACCACGTTTGACCAGTGTGAGCATCAGAGTCCCGAGGTTGAGCCCAGCGCTGTAGGTCGAGCACCCACCGCCATCCTGTCTTTAAGAATGGCGTCCTTGCCGCCTTCGCTGAAAGCCACTCCTGGTGAAGGGAGGTGCTCTCATGGGCGCCTGGCCCACAAGGTTCTTCTCGGATAAAATCAAGCCGGCCAATTTTTGACGGCCAGCAAGAAGACGTACCCACCGGGCCTGTACAAAGCACTGGCTACGGCCATAGTTGACAGCGCTATTTCCCTCCTACCTTCGGTTGAGACTCCCTCTTCCGTGGATGTTACAGATCTAGCAGAGTATCCGTCTGATCTCGAGGAGATCACAAATTCGTTGGGTGATTTCTTTGTGACCCTGGACCGCCTCGCTCCTGAGGAAACTGCCCCAGCGCCCGACTCGGCAGGTTGTGTTTCTCGGGGTTGCAGTCGCTGCGGCCCCGAAAAAGAAAGGTTTTTTGACACTGACTCTGAGCCTGAGCTGAAGGAGAGCACAGTTCAGGATCGTGTTGCCACGGATGTGCTGTGTACGCCCCTCTTTGATGGTTGCGAAGAGGCTGAGGCGGAAGAGTCGGTGGCCGATCTTCTCCTCGGATCGCCAGAGGAGCAGGCCGCGACCTGGCCGCTGATTCCCCCCTCTCCTCCCCCTTTCTTGCCTCCGCCTCCTCCTGCTCCTCTTCCCCTCTCCTCCGATCAGCTGGCCAGGATCGCGGCCAACCGTGCTCGTGCCAGGGCCCTCCGAGAGGCCCGACGACCTGCCGAGCACGCCAGAAGAGCCCCCTGGACATCAGGACGCGCAGGCATCCCTCGAGGGTCCTTTCTCCCCCAAGAGGGGGTGCCTGCTTGTTTCCTCTTCTCTCAAGGTCGGGACGGTGGAATCCGCAGTATACGCGCCGCCCGTCCCAGGCCTCCAAGGACGGAGCACGGTGAAGAACCCCAAGCCCCGCGTTGAACAACAACCCGTCCCCCCTCCCCGGCTCCGCTCTCGTCGCCCTCCTCGCGCCCCCCTTCGCGCCCCCCCCCACACCCGGGGCCTGCGACTACGTGGCCTGGGACCAGGCCGACGGCGCAGCAGAGGCGGCACAGAGACCTGCCGGTGACCTGGGAGGCGAGGGCGGGAGCGCGCGAGGGAGCGAGGGGCGGGCGAGAGACTGGAGAACGGAGGGTGGAGGAGGGGGGGGAGGGAGGGGGGGAGGGAGGGAGGGAGGGAGGGGGGAGACGAGAAGGGAGGAAGGGAGGTGGGAGGGTGAAGGAGGGGAGGGCGGGAGTGAGGGAGGAGAGGCAGGAGGGTGGGATGGTGAAGGGAGGACATTTGGACAGTCGCTGTGCCACCTCGTAGCTGAACAGCAGATGGCGGGGCGGGGCGCCCATCAAACCCTCCTGTTGCTCTCTGTGCTCTCGCCGCGCGCCTCAGCGGTCGTGCCCCGCCGCGTCGCCGGGGCTGCGGTTGAAGCACGAAGTCGTGTGCCAGGGCCCGCGTGGAGACGCAGACACTCCACCACGAGCCGCTGCAGCCGCACAAGGAATGGCTGGTATGGGCAGCCTCGCCTTCGAGCCCCCGTCGGCAGCTGAGACCGCGCTGGCCGACGCGTATCCGGCGCAATGTCGACCATCCTCCAGCGAGCGTTCGGCAGGCTGCCCAGCAGCTTATGGGCGCCGCGCAAGTAGGAGCGGGCGAGAGGAGGAGGAAAAAGAAGGTGGGTGGGAGGAGGATGTGGGAGGGAGGAGGTGCGAGAGGGAGGTGGGGAGCGATGAAGAGGGCGTGGGAGAGAGGGTGGCGAGGTGGCCTCCCTCCTTGAACCCTTCCTACCCCTTCACTCTCTCTCTCTCTCTCTCAATTTCTCTCTCCTCCTCCCCCCTCCTATGCCAGAATTAACCAAGGGAGGACCAGCTCTGCTTCAGCATGGCGCATGCGGGTCAGAGGCAACAAGGCTGGCAGGGGCCAAGGCCATCGATATCTGGCGGCACCTGAAAGGCTTCCAAAGGTCAAGCGCGGTGTGGTCGTGGCGGCCAGCTTCCCCCCTCACCTCCTGGGTGGCTCGTCCTGGACAGATGTTGTGCTCACGCAAAACATCATGGGTGACAAATCACAGCGCGACTCAAAAGGTCGCCAGGCGAACCGCAAACATGGCACACGCCGACAGGCCGTAGGCAAACTCATGCTACGGAACGCGCTCGTCTGGGAAGGATCCAGGATGTCCCTGAGCAGCGGACACCTTGGAAGGAGAGCCAGCGGGGGCATCGTCTCTGGAGGCTCTCAGGGCAGGAGCTGTCTGCGGCAGCTCGCAATATCAGCGCCAACAGAGCGAAACAACTTTCGATGGGATCCACCCAAGCGTTCTGAAAGCCAGATGGAAGTAGTGGCTGAAGGATTCCTAGAACGCGTCGAAACCATCGGGAGGTTCCCTTATCCGAGCCTCGCTTGCGATACTTGACCCCCGCAGAACCCTAAAGCTTCGTCTTCAGCTTCCACCGCAAAGCATCTGACAACCCCGACCCAAGCTGTAAAACACGACAGCGAAGCAGCGCTACAACGAGAGACAGAGGACAGCATGACGGCCGCCGAGCTGCAAAGTCGACGGATTCATGCGTACTGCAGACCACTGCAAGCCGTGAAACGACGAGGAGTCGAGGCAGAGAAACGAGACGGCCTGAGGGGGGAGGAGAGGAGAGGAGAGGAGAGCAAGAAGAAGCCTGGCCAGCCGCACGACGGAGCGTGAGCAAAGCTGGTGCGAAGAGGGAGCACTGCGAACACTACAAACGGACAGCGGGTGTGCGCGTCAGCCGGTGCCACGGCCAATGGGACCTTTCGCGCCAGCAGACCAAAGGAAGGAAGGAAGCAAAGATGGGGCGGAGACCGAGGAAAAGAAATGGGTCGACAGCCTGTGCATGCATTGGCTGACCCGGACTTCACTAGAGTCGTCCGCAGGACTGCTCCGCATGAGCGTGGGGGGCGGGAACGCAGGAACGATGAGAGAAGGAAGCAGTACAGAGCAGACAGACAGAGCAAGCAAAGCAATACTCCTGAGGGCCCCGGGAAATAGGTCGGGGCGCCCATCGCCCGACCTGGCCGCCAAGGACCTTACTAAAGCCTCGTCTTCGGGAGGCCCCTCCTCTCGTTGTGCTGGAACGTTGCCGTCCCAGTACAGGTATTGGCGCGCGCACGGCACGGGCTAGCTAAAGAATGGGAGCATCAGCATCCGTGTGACCAGCTGTCAGCCCAGAAGGGGAGTCCCTCCTTGGTCCTTGAAGCTAATTCATCCAGTCTGACAGGGCCTCAAGCACATGTGGCTCGAGGCTTCTCCGTACCCGTTTGGGCTCTGGGCAATTTCGGAGTCAAGCCCTACGCCGTCACGGGGCGCTTGCGGGACGCCCAGGCGGCTGCGCATCGAGTGCAGATCGTCTGGCTGGACGACGAAATGGGACACATCGTGTGGGCAGCGACGGTTGGCTTGTCGTTGCGGGCTGCTCTGCGTGGCGTCGGTCGTCTTCCTGGCGGTGGTCGCTCTGCAGCAGCAGCTCGTCACAGTCTCCCTTGCACTCTCGGCCGTTCTCTTCGGGCCACGCCTTCGACCTGGGCATGGTTCGCTGCGACGTCCTTAAATGGGCCCAGGGACACACAAATAAATGCACACAAATCCCAAGATTCCCCATATTTTTGCATATGTTCTGGATTTTCGTCTTCCCCCCCACTGTTCATGTTTTCCCATATGTCCCTGGGAATCGACGATTTCCCCCTCCCGAGTCGTGGTCGCGCTGTTCTCTTGTGCGCGGCCCGTCGGCGCGTTTCCCGCCTTAGTGTCGAATGCGCCCCCGCACCAATGGTTGGGCAGCGGCCGCCAGCACGACCCGTCGGCGCGTTCTCGGGCTCAGTGCTGCAATGGGCCAGTGTATCGAGGGCTGAGCAGTGGCCGCGGGATTTGGCCGCAGCGCCATGGCAGTGGCAGCTGGTGCAGTCATCGAGGAAGTCAGTGCGGGGTGCGAAGTTCGAGCCGATCGCCATCAGCTCCGATGATTGGCTCAGCAAGCGCGAGAAGAGCGACCAGGACGAACATGTTTTCCCCTTGGGCCTGGAACGACAGTTTTACGTTTTGACCAGACGCGTATGGGAGAACCGCCGTCGGATCCAATGAAGTTCGCGCGGATCCAATTGTGGCTTTGGTTCTGTCTCGGTGGATCCGATTCCCGTCCGCGCGGATCCGATTTCGGATTGTCTGGACCCGCGTCCGGCCTTATTTTTCGCAACAGAACAGATCTGTATCCCGTTCTAAATCCCACCAGCCTCTGGGCGTAGGTGGTCTAACGACATCTCTCTTCCCTCTTCCAAACACCCCTCTTCCCCCTCGGTCCTCGGGGAAATGTTGATCACTGTTCCCTATTACTAAACACCCCCCCCCACCTGGCCGGCAGCCAATCCGGAACCATGCGGGCACCCCCCCACCATCCCTATCAAAAACAACACAACATGCACATTGCGGGGCCCACCCTGCCAACAACCTCCACAATCCTTGCAAAAAAATACGAAGTGCACATTGCAGCGAAATCTGGACAGTGCGCTGGCGCCCTGTGAGCACGTTGCATTGTTTTTTAAAGGGATGGCGGGGTACCCTTAGTGAAGCCGCTTTGTGCAGAACCACCATCCGTGTCGAAATCTACTCCGACGGAAAGACCCCACATGAAAATCCGTTCGGCTAATCTGGAACCTCCACTGTCGCCCTCGCGATTAGTGAAACCGACATAAAACGCGGGCCCCATAGGGGGAGGGCTCCCGCCTGAGACTTCCTCGCAAATCACTCACAGACGAAGCTCCCGCCTGATACTTCCCCCATAATCAGGCCTCAGGAGCCCAAAAGTGACGACAGCTACAAATTCGAGGAGGACCCGCTCGGATGAAAAAAACATGGAATGCGGGCCCCATAGGCAGAGGGCTCCCGCCTGAAACTTCCTCGCAATTCACTCACAGACGAAGCTCCCGCTTGATATTTCCCAAATAATCAGGCCTCAGGAACCCAAAAATGACGACAGCTACAAGTTCGAGGATGACCCGCTCGGATCAAAAACATGAAACGCGGGCCCCATAGGCAGAGGGCTCCCGCCTGAGACTTCCCCGCAATTCACTCACAGACGAGGCTCCCGCCTGATACTTCCCCCTTATTCAGGCCTCAGGAGCCCAAAAGTGACGAAAACTACAGGTTCGAGGAGGACCCGCTCGGATCAAAAAAATAAAATGCAGGCCCCATAAGGAGAGGGTTCCCGCCTGAGACTTCCTCGCAATTCACTCACAGACGAACCTCCCGCCTGATACTTCCCCCATATTCAAGCCTCAGGAGCCCAAAAGTGACGACAGTTGCAAGTTCGAGGATGACTCAGGAGCCCAAAAGTGACGACAGTTAGAGGTTCGAGGATGACCCGCTCGAATTAAAAACATGAAGTGCGGGCCCCATAGGCAAAGGGGTCCCGCCTGAGACTTCCTCGCAATTCACTCAAATACGAGCCTCCCGCCTGATACTTCCCCCATATTCAAGCTAGCGACTGAGTGGGTGAGTGCGTGAGTGAATGAGTGAATGACTGAATGAGTGATGCTGATGATGATGATGATGATGATGATGATGATGATGATGATGATGATGATGATGATGATGATGATGATGATGATGATGGTGATGGTGATGATGATGATGATGATGAGGATGATGCAGATGATGAGTGAGTGGGTGAATGAGTGTGCGTGATCGAGTGGTAGTCAAGGTGATCAAGATGGTCTGTATGTGAGTGAATGTGAGTGTGAGTGAGTGTGTGTGTGTGTGATGACGATGCTGATTGTGATGATGATGATGATGATGATGATGATGATGATGATGATGATGGGTGAAGGAGTGAGTGGGAGTGAATGAGTGAGTGAGTGAGTGAGTGGGTGAGTGAGTGAGTGAGTGAGTGATGGTGATGATGCTACGGATGTTGGTGGCGATGTGGTGTGTGCTCCTGTGTGTTCCTGCGCGGGGTGTCCAGAGAAAACAAGAGCCCCACTTTGGCTGTGGGGAACCATACAAAGTGCACGTTGCGACAACGTCGTGGGTATTGTGCTGGCCACACGCGATCAC